TGGGGGGGTGTGAGAGGGAGGCAGGCAGCGGTAAACTGGACCAGTCAAGCAGTAGCTCCCCTCTGGGGAAGAATTAGGTCTGGCCCTTTAAGAGTGAATTCTCCCTTCCCTCTCCTAGTCCTGGCCTGTTGCCCAAGCAAGTAGACTAGTTGTGGACTGGACAGAGATTCACCCTTCTGCGCCTATGACACCCACTCCCCACAGGCCCAGATACCAAACTAAATCCCTGCTTCTAGCCTCAACACCAAGTCCTATTCTCTTCTCTGTTCTGAAATATTGGAGATTCGCCCTAAGAAGTCTGCCCTTCAGGGTGAGGGTTGTTATCACTCATAAACCCCTGGAGGCCCTTAGAGGGCTTCTGGGGGAGAGACCAGGGGGACCCTCTGGCAGCACCAAGCAGATGCAGATGCTCTAATCCTGAGGAGGAAACACAGGCCCAGAGAAGGGAAAAGTTGAACTCAGTCCCCACCCCACCTCCTGGCACCTGCCAAACAGCTGCCAGCAACTCTGCTAAAAATATCAGTCCTCCTCCTGGCCCTCCCTGGTCGTTCTGCTCCTGGCCTGAAAGTTGCCAGAGCTGAGGAAATTCAGGCAGAGGCCAGCCACTTTAGAGTCTTCAAGCTTTACCAGTTTCATAGCCTCAGTCTGAGCCTGCTGTTTAGCACGCCCCCCCGTCCCAGGAGGGGCATAGATGCAGAATAGGGGCAAGAGATGGGGAATGTCTTAACCACCCATTGGTGCCATCATTGTCCAGAGCTCACACCTTTCCTCAGATCTAGGGTGGTGGCTGGGGCACAGAGGGAAGGAGAGGCAATGGGGGACAGAGTGTCTAGTCCTGGCTCTGCCTCCAGCCTACTGACTCTTGCCCTTCTCCTAGTCTTAGGGTGCCCAGCTATATAAATCGGGCATCATGACCTATTCCCCCACCTTGCTCATCTCTGGGGTGCATGAGGGTTGGGGGTAGACAGGCTGTGACAGGAGCTTGCTATCAGACTCTGACGTTGGATTGTGACGTTTGAGTGTGGTGGGGGTGGAGAGTACCCATCTGTGACTCAGGTGACATCATGGATGAAACCTAGTGGGCTCTTGCAGGTTGTCATGGAGACCTGGGCCAGGCTCTCTGGCTGCTGTGTCAGTTTCCTTGGCAACATTTAAGAAGGCATTGAGTTGAGGAGGGCCTGGCTAAGTAAGGTTAGCAGGTTCATGCAGGGCCCTCTTATTCCTGAGTTCCCAAAAGTAGGTAAGAGCTGGGCTAAGGGGAGGCCGGTCCATAGGAAGGAATTTCAGAGGCCTGGGTAGCCCCATGCTGGCTTTGGCTTCCTGGACAATGTCCAGTGCGAAGAGGGAGCCATGAGTCCAGCCTCTCATCAGAGGATAGAAGTCTCAAGAGCTACACACCACTTCCCATCAGGAATCCTGGATAGCTGCTTGTGATGCCTCCCCCCACCCCTGCCACCTGTAACACATACACAGTGTGGCTGGAAAGAGCCCATAGGTGCCTGGAAGATTCTGGCAGAAGTGGATGGGTGAGGGGGATGGGCGGGGGAGGGGGAGAGGAGGAGGTGGTAGCTACAGCCCTTCCCAGCAGGGGCCATGCAGGGAAATACTGCTGGCTTTCCCCTCTGGTAATCTGAGCTCTTGACCTCAGCTGTGTGTCTTCATTGCCAAGGGAACCACATCTACACAGGGCTACTCAGACCCCAGGCATTCTGGAAGCTGCCCCAACAGGCCAGAGACACTCATCACGAGCCTAGGTATGGCCAGGGGCCCTAGGACATGACCTTGAGACACCCCTGCCTGTTCAGAATTGAGGCTGGAGTCAGGCCTAGGGTCCTCTGTCCTTTGTTGTTTACCTCTGTCCATTTATCATGGCTGAGACTCAGTTTCCTCCTGTATAGACCAAGGATAATGTGTTCTTGGGGATTTTTCTCAGATAAATAACATGAACTGCAGAGGTAAGGTAGCTGGCTCATGTCTGGCACAGGGTAATATCTCAGAAAGAACACTTCTATTTTTATTACTCTTGGTTGGATGGGGCAGGTTGAGTTAATCTGTTGGCACTCTCTTGGTGCTGTACCATTCTCTCTAGGATGGTGATCTGCCCAGGAAAGGGGCAGAGATCTCAGGAATAATGCAAATACCACTCCCCTTTATAGGATCTCATGCTCTCTCCTTTCTTCAGGTAACAAAATGATGCAAAGGGAACTTAGTTACAGTGTCCCCACCCTTTCTCACTCCTCAACCCAGTGCTCCAGGGCCTCTGCTCTGTTTTAAGACTCCATCCATCCATTCATTCCATTAACCTACAATAAGTATCTACTGTGTGCCAGGCGGTTATCCAGGGAGGCAGGATTATGAATGGAAATATAGCTACATATGTTCATGTGTGTCATCTAACCCCTGGGACAATCTCATTTAGCTATGATTGATTATTCCCATTTAAAAAATATGGTAACCAAGGCCTGAGGGGTCATGGCCAGAAACACAGACCCAGATACACCTGGCAGAGGGTATCAAAAAACCTTAAACTCCACCACCTTCCACCACACGCCAGGTCCTCACACATCAGCTGGTGTTCCAGAAAGTTCCTTTGGCATTGGCTTAGTGTGCACAGATGGTGCCCTGCAGGCAGCCAGGGGCCAGGCACAGATGAGTCAAGACTGTCCAGGGGACTATATGAAATGCCAGATATGGCATGAGCAGCTTGGTATCCCTTACCCACCAAGGCCTGGCTGTCAAGAAGGCCAGCAGAATGACTCAGCAACACCTGCCTTCCCTGTGAGTCCCACTTTCAGCTGCACATAGACACCATGGCCACCTCAGACAATTGGGGGTATCAGGGCAGAGGTTTGCATGTGGTAAGGCCTACAGCTTGGGAAAACTGCTAGAATCTGATCACCTGCCTCTCGAGAGCACTCAGCTTCTTCATCTGTGAAATAGGGGATCTGACGTCTGGAAGGTCATCTGAGATAGGCCCAGAGCCACTTTAAATTTCCACAGAGCAGTCCTAAGTACTGCCATGACTGTCCCTACATCACAGGTAAAAACCAAACAACTGAGCAATGGCTGAGGACTTCACCTCTCTGATCTTAGGCAGCCACATTCAGAGCCTCTCCTTGGTCACTGGGTGACAATAGTACTCCTAAAAACTGATTGTGATGACGATAGGAGTTGGGGGTCTCAGGTAGGCCTAAGCCCTTCTCTAGAGGCAACAGTGTCCCCTGTCATCTAAGCAGCACCTATCAGGCTGCTCAGGTTTTCCTTTATTTCCTAGTTGGAAGTCTTAGAAGGAATTTTTTATTAAGCCCATTTCCTTATCTGCAAATTGGGGATAAGAAAAGCAACCATTACACAGGGTTAGATGGAGAACTATCCGACTAGACTGTAAGTGTAAAGCCCCTGGTCCGATGCCCACTCTTAGGACAGGCTTAAGGTTGTCGGTGGTGCTCAAGAACAGATTTACCAAGTGCCCAGGTTTCCTGTTGAGGCTTCTTTAGGTCTCAGCCCATAATCACTTCTGAGCCCCAGCGGGTATGGTGCGTTCCCATTTATCCTCAGAGAAAGAAACTGCGCCAGAGAATCCCAAGGCAGGGAGCCCTGGGAAAGAACTCCTAACTGGCAGAGCTAGTATCTAAGCCTGAGGTCTCTCCAAGTAACCAAGTGCACTTAGGACCCAGAGCCAGGGGGAGGTGGAGGCGGAGGCCCCAGAACTGAAACATCACTTCATGGGATTGAGCTCCCCTTCTTACTCAACACCTGGGCTATCATTCATCTCTGGGAAGACTGATAGAAAGGGTTCCTCAGGATTCTTTCAGCAGAGAAAGCTGATGTCACTGCCTTGATGAGGAAACAAGACTGAGCATCACCATCAGCTGGACAAGCTATTATCACAAACTTATAAGAGGACAGGTTTATCTTGGCTCATAGTTTTGGAGATTTCAGTCCCTTGTTTGTTGGCTGTTGCTTTGGACCCGTGGTGAGGCAGAACACTATGTTTGTGTGACAGAGCAAAGCCTCTCACCTCATGGCCAAGAAGCAAAAGAGAGTAAGAGGGGGTGTCCACTATCTTTCCTGGAGGGTACACCCTCAACAACATTAAGACCTCCCCCTCTGCCTTAGCATATGGACACAATATTTTATTTATTTTTTATGTGGTGCTGAGGATTTAACCCAGTGCCACATGTGTGTTAGGCAAGGGCTCTACCACTGAGCTACAACCCCAGCACCAATTGCTCAGTTCTTGACCAAACAAAAGTACTATAACTGCTGGGCATGGTTGTGCACACCTGTAACCTCAGCAACTCAGGAAGCTGAGGTAGGAGAATTGCAAGTTTGAGGCCATCCTCAACAGCTTAGTGAGGACCTAAGCAACTTAGCAAGGCCATAAGCAACTTAGTGAGACTCTGTCTCAAAAGGGCTGGGGATGTAGCTCTGGTAAAGTGCCCCTGGGTTCAATTCCCAGTACTGCAAAGAAAAAAAAAAGTGCTGTGACTACACAGATTTATCTTATATAGATGTCAAAATGAAAGGTCATGTCTCTGTAAATTACTCTCAAATATACTTACATTTATATGCACACATATAAATAAGGCCAGTGTTATAACAGGTCAACAATTGTTGGATCTACTGACGGTGTTTTGTTTTTTTTGTGATTAACTATGACTTATTGAGAAATTAACACACAGATTATAACTCTCAGTCTTCACATTGTCTAACATTCTTCAAAAACTGGATGTGGTTATGGTAAGGCAGTTTATTCTATTTTATCTTATTTTTATTGATTTTTCTGATGGTGTTTGATATAAAGGTATATTCACATATTAATCTTTCAGTTTTTTTTGTATAATTTTAACTTTAGTCCCTAATCAAAACACTGGGAGAGATTTTAAAAACAAGTAAAGAACCACAAATCTTTGATCCACCCTACATAGGCACCCATTATAACTACCCTCTCCCAAATCCCAAGTGACTCCGCCAAGATGAAAGATGCTAAGGCATGATGGGAAATGAATATAAATTAAGGGTTTATTACAAAATGCAAAATGTTAGTTTCTCATCATCTATGATTCAAGAAAACAAGCCATAAGCCTTGGGTGAAGCTGAGGCCAGGACACTGGTGTGCAGGCTGAGGGCCAAAGTCAGGCTCAGGAGCGGGCTGACAGGCACTGATTCACAACCTCCAGCAGGTGAGTGTTCTCTAGGGCAGCTGCAACTCGCTCCTTATCTGCAAGCTGTTTGTTCACTGGGTCAGGGAGGAGTGAGAAAGGCAGAATCAAAGCCATGCTCTCTGAGCTGGGGATATAACTCAGTGGTAGAGCACTTGCCTAGCATACGCAAAGTCCTGAGTTCAATCCCCAGTTTCTCTCTCTCACACACACAAAGCCAAGCTCTGACCAGGCTACTAGCCAGTCCACCTCTGAGCTTTAGAACAGTATGTCCCCACCAGTAAGGCTCTTCTGTCCCATCCTTCCCAGGACCCTTGATTAGGGTACCCCAATAACCTGAGTTGACACCTATCCTGCCTTCTTTAGGACCCTTCTCACCCGGCTGCTCATGTCTACCTCCAATATTGCTGAAACCTGACACACTGATCTTACATGCTTGAGGAGTGCAGGAGGGAAGTATATGGTAAGCAGGAGACTTGAGTCAGGCCAGCTTTGGTCTGGGTCACCACCTTCACTGAAAAGAATCTGGCAATTTCCCTCACTCAGTCCCCCACCCCCAATGTTGGCCTATAAACCTCTGTGGTGAGAGAAGCTTCTGACAGCTTAGAGCCCTGGCACACCATCCTCACCCCCAGCCCACACTTACCTGCATGCTCCGAGGCATGGGTCCCTGGTGTGATGTGCACATCCATCTGGAAAGGAGATAACCTAGCCTGAGTGGGTACCCACCCATCAGTCCCCCTTCTGCCCCTTGAACAAAACCCTCAAGCACCACCTCCAACTGAGCCTTCCTCCCAATCCACCCCTGGATTCTGGCCCTTCCATTACACCTCTAACCAATCCACAACCACTCCAACTCTACCCAAAGAACTGGTCAACAACTGTTGATTTAAAGGCCTGCCTAAGCTGGGCATGATGGCATATGCCTGTAATCCCAAAGACTTGGGAGCCTGAGGCAGGATGATTCCAAGTTTGAGGTCAGCCTCCCCAGCTTAGTGAGATCCTGTCTCAAAATAAAACTAAAAAGAACTGGGGATGTGGCTCAGTGGTAATGCACTCCTAGGTTCAATCCCCAGGACAGACAGACAGACATACATAAATAAATAAATGTATGTCTGTGCCCTATCCTCAATCCAAATTCATGCGCAGCTCCTTATATCCCTTCTGCCACACTCTTCACTACTTTCTGCACTTTCTAGATCACAATTTTTGAAAAACCATGAGGCACATCCCCAGCCCTTGTTATTTTTCTTTTGAGCAGGGTCTCACTAAGTTGCTGAGGCTGGCCTTGAACTTGCAATCCCCCTGCCTCAGTCTCCTAAATCATTGGGATTATAGGCATGCTTCACTATGCCCGGCACCAGATCACAATTTTTAATTTTTGTCATATCAAGTTAGAAAGTTTCCTTTCAGTTCTCAACTAATTGGGATCCTTCCACACTCCACTCTGATGTTCTCTTCAAGTTCATTCTCTCCCTTTTCTTTTTCCCCAGTAGCAGACCAAGACATTTCACCCTCAAATCTCAAAATGAACTGACCTTGAAACGCTGGGGAAGTGAGCGCAGAAGCTTGACTTTGATGGACAAGCCAATCAGGGTGGCCATGCTGCAGTGTGGAATGGTGGGCGTGAAGGCCACTGCCACTGTGCTCTCGGGGTCGCTAACCTGGCAGTGGTGGGGAGATGTCAAGGATCATGGCCATACCCAGTCCAGAGGCCCTCTTCTTGGTTTGTTGCTTTGGACAAGTCACCTATACTTTATGGGCTTCAGTTTCAACATCTGTAAAAACAGGCAAGACAATCCTCCTCCCAAATATACCCCTAAATGTCCCTAAGCTGAAAGCCATTCCCTGATGTACAGAGGAGCCTTTCTGACTCTCCCGAACAAGTTGCTCCCCTCTGACACTGGGAGTGACTCACCTGAACCCGAACTTGCTCTACTACGTTCAATTCCTCTAGTGTCAGTGGATGCTCCGGGTCATTGATGGAGCGAATAAGATGTGTCAAGTGAAGGAAAACGGACTTGTGTGTTTTTGGCCACTCAGAACCCTCCGCCAGGAATACCTGGCCAGAATACTCCTCCATCCGCTGCTGGACATCACTTCCCGCCTGTCCCAAGACCCCCCAACCCGCCCGCGCCCAGCAGCGGCGGATATCAAAGATCTCCCGCGCGTCGATGCTGTCGGGAACCTGCTCGTCTTCCTCGCCCGCCGTCACCGGCCGCTCCCCAGAGCGCTCATAGATGAGGGGGTTAGCGTTTTCCAGGAGGCCACCGCCCACTCCACTGCCGCCGCCCACCATGCCGGAACCGCTGTCGACCGGAGTCAGTAAGCTCTTCCGCTCCTACTGGCGCACTTCCTGGGAACGGGAAGAGGGCGGGGCGTCTTTACGGGGTCATGCGAGGGACAAGCGGCGCTGCGGGTTCTCAGCCCCGGGTTTCAGAGAACTGTTGGCTGCTCCGCGGCTCGCCTCTTATCCTCTATTCTGGGAGTTGATCCCAGGGGTGCTCCACCACTAAGCTACATCCCTTTTTATATTTTATTTTTAAACAGGGTATAGCTAGGTTGCCCAGGCTGGCCTCAAGTTTGGTATCCTCTGCCTCAGCCTCGGGATTACAGGAGCCGCTGTCTAGCTAAGAACTAGGCTTTGGCGTACTGGTTACTCGGACCAGGAAATAATTGACATTTATCGCAAACGGGCTGAGAAGGGACCCGGCGACGCTGCACACTGCGAGCCGGTTGGGAGCTGGAACGCGGAGGCCACGGCCCAATTGTCGGAGGGCACTGACAGCTGAGGTTGAGCCCCGCACCAGTTTTCCTCCGGGATGTCCGGCTGGGCAGGCGCTCCGGTGCCCAGGCTAGCTCTCTCTATCCCGGCAGTGTTCTCGGTGTTTCAGAATCTTCCAGTGATGAACCTGCCTCCCCCGCAGAATCGGACCTGGGATTGACCTGCCGGGCCCCAAGAGCTGGGACCAGCAGGCACTCTTTAATGTTAAATGTTTCTCAGGTGGATAAGGGGCACTGAAATCGACTCTCCATGGAGTGGGGATGAAAGACCCTCAGAGTCCCTGTCCAAAGTGAACCACATGAAACACTGGCTGCAAAAGCAAGAGGCAAGTTTATTAATACACAGGCGCCTGCGGGTGCTCAGCAACACCTCAGCCGGAGCTTAGGTGAACTGGCACACCAGGCTTTGGGGTACAGATCTTTTATAGGGTACAGTGGTCAGTTTCCCGCCTAGCACAGTAGCAGGTATCTCATTGGCTCTTTTGAATCCAGCATATAGGTCACTTAAAGGGTAAACTTGTTTTTCACTATAGGTTTCTGGAAAAACCACATAAAAACCATTTGTTATTCATTGTATGTTCCCGTTTGCTCAACCGTGCAGGTTCTTTCCCAACCATCCTGTCCTTTCTTAATCGGTTACACTTAACTGAATATCTGAAAAACACATCTGACGTCTGTGCAGGTGCGAAAGCAAGCCCTGGTGATTTCATTACTGGGCCTAAAGTTATTGGGCTGGGGTCTCTCAGGGAGAGTGAAAGCCCTGCTGATGGGGAGGTCAATGAGAAGTGCACATTCACGTGTGCATTTCAAAAGATGAGCCATGATTGAATAGGGAGGGGCCCGTGCAGACCCCTCAGACCGCGAATCGGAACCAATAAACTCTGCTTCAGAAGATGATGAGCTTTCAGGGTTAATGGCTCAGCCACACCTCCCTGCCTTTGTTTAAACTGATCCCTTCACCAAATGGAAGGTCCATTCTGTTCATGTGAGGATTCCTTGGCTTCTCCAGTTACAGTTCTGAATCATTAAACACCATATCCCTGAATGCCTCTCTTCTGTTCCCAAAAATCTAACCAAGTTAAGGGAACAATGAGAGCAAGCCTGGGCTGGAAAGTCCAGGTACATACTGAAGGACACTGGCTTTCTCTTATGCACTCTGGGAGCATGTTACTTTATCTGTAAAAAGCTACTTTCTTGCAGGCACACCAGGACTGTTGCTCCTTGGGATACTGGCCATACAAGCAAGCTAATGCTGATGATGTCACTACTTCTTCAGTCGAACATATAAGACCCCTTTCTGAATGGGGATAGGCATGGAACTGAGGGCACTGTGGAAGGGATGCATGTCCTTGTCCAGCCAGCTACCAATGGACAAAATGCTCTGAGAGTCAAGGAGGCACTTTTTGGCAAAGCACCTTGAGGGACAGAGGGACAAAGGTGCTATCTGTTTGGCTTCCACACTGAACTCTTGTTGGTGCAGTCACTGATCTGCTGTAAGCTTTACCCTGGAAATCATGTCTCATTTGCTGTCTCTGAGCACTTTCTTTGTCCTTACTGCAGCTTACCCTATTGCCCTGGCACAACTGGCCTGTGAAAATGACAAACTTTCTGCTTCCTTCTTTCTCAACACTTCCTACTTTCTCAACACATTTCTTTCTTTGGGCCACTACTGCAAAGATAGTGAATCAATGAATCCAGGTGTGAGGAGAGGGTTCCTAAGGTTCTCAGAAGGGCTGGCACAGTGCCTTGGAAGGTGGACAAAGCGGGTAGGCAAAGGGGAGATGGCCCAGCTCCCCCCACTGCCCACTAGTTCCATGACCTCTGCCCAGTCAGGGTGGCTCTCCAACAGCACCCACCTCTCCCAGTGGTACCCATTGCCTCAACTTTTCCCTGCTGGTTCCAAACTCTATCTGAGCCTGGACAGGTCCTGCTCCACAGTGGCCTGTGGGTGAGCATGGTGCCCACAGCAGCAGAAGAGAAGGTGCCAGGAAGTAGAGAGGTGGTGGAGATGACGAAGGAGAAATGTGACCATCCCATAAACCCCCAAATCCCAGGGTGACTCCCCTGAAATCAGAGAGAGAGGATTAGGCCTGCCTAAGGACACCTAACATAAAGGATTGAGTCCACTGTTAGACCTCTGAAAGCCCTGGAGGGGCAGGTCAGAAGAGAAGCAGGGATTGGGACATTTCTCTCCAATATATGTGGCTGTGGCTGTATCTGCTACTGACCTTCAGGTATTACTATTACTACTATTACTACTACTAGTACTACTAATACCTTTCCAGTTATGTTTGGCTCTAAGTATTTTGTCCCCTCTGGCCAGAGAAGCACCTGGAATCCTCTAAAATGTCCCCAGGCAAGGTTACTGGCTTTCTGGGACACAACAGCCCTTCTCACCACATGACCCCCCCATCATACCACATCCCAAAGCAAAACAGGGAGGCTGTAGGTTCCCCTCACCCATGGACTTGAGCTGGGCCACAGACATGGCTTGGGTTTCAGGACAAAGGTGATAGTGATCTGCACATGTCAGAAGGCTCCAGGCCCTTATCAGGAATAGTTGCCAGGAGGGTACCATGCCCAGGGTGTCTGCAGCCCTTGATCTCTCTCACCTCAAAGGTTTCTAGTGTGGAACCTGACCAGATCCTTAACACTTTCCCAGTGTAATCTTCCCAGGGGAATCCATGCTCACCTCACCCCCATGGCCCGCCCCTGCCAGGCTTCCTTCCTTACCTGCAGTTGATCAGGCTCTTGGAGGACACCAGGACCTTCCAGACAGGAAAATCTACCCAGCCTCACTGATGGATCCTCTTCAGGTTGGCTCAATCAACCTATAAAAGACCCTGACTCCAGCAACAGATACTACAGGTTCCTGAGGAGGGGAGTAGTGATGGCTTCTTGGGGACTCAGCCCTCCACAGTCACTGTGGCAATCCACAGGGCCAGGTACCAGTAGCCAAGGAACAGGTGTATGTGCTTATAGCTGGAGACTCTGTGGGAGGGATGATGTTCCCTGAGAGTCTCGACTTGGGCTGTGGGATGCCCCATTACTCTTCTATGGGAAACTAACTTCTATCCACTCAAGCACCGCCAGTGTGCTTCTATGGGAAACTAACTTCTATCCACTCAAGCACCGCCACCTATGCTATTTCAGGCCTGAATGGGTACACGGATAAATGATGAATGTCAACACAGGCCCAAAAAGGTTCCAAAACAGGCCCTTAGAGACACGATTTCCCAGCTTCAGGAAGAGTGAGATCTTAGGCCCTCAACAATCATTAGTCCTCCCCGGAAGTCTGGGCTCCATCCCAGCTTCCACAGAGCCTCTGACCTCTACCTTGTTAGGAAATGACTTTAAAGAAAGGCAGAGCATCAGGTGGAGCAGGGACTGAGAGTGTCTGGGAGCAAATCAGGACCAGAGGTCCAGTGTTGACCATTGCACAGCTTCTGGAATACCTTAATCCATTGTTACTAAGTATTTTAGTCAGTTTTTTGTCACTGGGACCAAAAGACCTGGCAAAAACAGGAGGAAAAGTTTATGTGGCTCACAGTTTCAGAGGTCTCAGCCCATAGACAGCTGACTACATACCTCTGGGCATGAACTAAAGCAGAACATCATAACAGAAGAGTATGGTAAAGAAAAGCAGCTCAGGACATGGCAATTAGGAAGGAGAAAGATAAAGTGTAAGTCCCAAAGACAGGTCCCCAGTGACCCACCTCTTCCAGACACTCCGTACCTATCTACAGTTACCTCCCAGTTAATCCATATCAGTGGATTAATGAACCAATTAGGTCAAAGCTCTCATAACCCAATCATTTCACCTCTGAACTTCCTTGCATTATTTTACACATGAGGTTTTGGGGGACACCTCATATCTAAATCAGAACACCAGATGTCTGCACAATGCTTAAGTCATAGAGACTCTGAACCTATTAACTCTGACTCTGCTTCCCATGCTGTATAAGAGGACTTCCTACATCTCAGCATCTACACAGCCACCCACACCCATGAGGGCTCTAACCTGCCTGTAAGTGTCAGACCATGGCCCATTGCAGTGTGGATCCTGATGAGAAGTCTCTCACTATCAAGTGCAAGAAGGCCTCTTACACAGGGTGGGCAGCTAACCCCTGTGTATGGGTTCACATAGCTCTGGTTGCTTTCAGGGGTCAGAAACTGTAGCCCTTTCATAAGTTCAGGGTATTCAATCAACTCATTCCTGGGAGACCCACTCAAGGACTACACTTTGAGGTCACCCAGGCCCCCAGCCATGGGTTATCTTTTGGGACAAAGAGATTAAAAGACAATTTAATTAATATTCAGACAGAATAATCAGGGAAACTTTCCTGTTTACTACTTTATTTCCATAGCTGAATGTGAAATGGAGACAAAGTTATGCAAAGTCAGGTTTGGGATATATGTGAGCATACTGGGATTAATAAGGAAGGGGAAAAAGTAACTCAGTGGGCATCAGAAAATGTCTGAGCTCTGACTTTGTTTCCTGACCTTGAATGTCCCCTTAGGCCTTCAAGGTTATGTGTTATGTGGTGGATGAGATCTTCCTGTCCAGGCAATCCCAGGAGCTGCTGACCTCTACTGATTTTCTACATATTCCTAGCATCACTGGTGTCAACAATGATGAGTATGGCTGGATCTTCCACATGGCAAGGCCCAGTTCCAAGTCCTTAAAATCCTGAAGATCTCATTGTGTGTGTGTGTGTGTGTGTGTGTTGTGTGTATGTGTGTGTGTAAGTATAGCTCAGGATTTCAAGGCTTACTACCCCAAATTTAAGACTTTCCTTCCACCTCCCAGCTCATAGGTACTGATGATACCCAGATGGAAACAGAGGGACTAGGTAGGCTCTTTCTCAGAGTACTTCAACACTGATGGTGAGGTTCCTGGGGTCCTGCCCCAATGGAGAGAACACCTCTACATTCCTGCTTATGTAGGAACCCCAGGAACAAAGGCTAAACTATGTACATATTTTTGGATAAAGTCTTCCCAGAGTTTGGCCCTCTCCTCCATTCTCAGTCCCCCAAGCCCCATCTCTGGACCCTGAGGCTGCTGACTCACTGTCCTTGAGCCTGCCTAACCTAACACTCCCTGATCTCCTGCCAAATGCAATGACCTGTTGATGGAGGAGACAATGAAGACCTTCACACCCTCCAAGTCCAATTACAGAAGATAATGGACTTCTTGTTCATGATCTCTGAACACCAAATAGTACATTATCATTGTGAGTATATCTGTACCTAAATCCTGGCTGCCTAGGGGGCAGTTCAGAGCTGTGAGTCTCATAAGAGTTCTGGTATCCAGGTCCTGAAACAAGTCTTTATCAGGTTCCTGGTCCCAAGCACCTGATGATCCTCATCTCAATAAATCC